GTATTTCTTAAATACTCATGACCTGAAACCTATAGCTGATGTCACCGGTTTGACTAATGTGGGGAATCTGACATTTTAATTGTTCGAAATTGAGCAAAAGAAATGCAAAGAAGAAAAACCCACGGATTTTTCTGTTTTCTTTTGGGATTTTGGCGCTCTTTTCAAGGAAATGATTTATTCTGATTGGCCCTTAGAATCCTCTACAGATGAGAGATGAGGAACTATAAATCTTTAAAATAGGTCAACATCTCACTAATTATTGCTTTAATTAGTGACAACCACATAATAATTTTTATTCCTCTGTTCAATTTAATAGGAGTCAGACATATTTGATTTTTTCTAATTTGAAAGAAGTTGTGCCCTTGATTTTTAATGGACTTCACCCAGTCTGGCAGATTACTTGGAAGTGTTGATGGTAAAAATTTAAAGACTGTACCTTTAGTTTTCCTGTCACAGCTGCTCTTTTCATTTTATCCACAAATATTAGTAGGCTGAGCATGGATTACCTGAAGAAATGACAAATAGCAAAAAGTTCTTAATTAGGTTTGAAAAACAACAGCGTGAATGTAAGAGATTTTTACAGAGACCTGTACATTTATTAAAAAACGTTCTCTCAGTTGATTGTCTCATACACTAGACGTATAACAGTAAATCAAATAATATATGGTTTAAATGGTCCAAAAATACTTTCAACACCTCTACTAGATCTAGTTTGTGAGATAGGAATAGTGTATGGAATACGTTTTGGGTTCAGAAAAGACTGAACAGTTGTTTTATACAGGTTGTGCCAAATGACATCACACTGCTGGGTCATAACCCTCTGAAGTTGGAAAGACCTATGTATGTTCCATGTTCCAAGTACTGTAATAATACTTCAAATAATTATGTTATTCTCTGTTAAAATTTCTAAGAAAATAATACTATTGCCTTGCTTATTGACTTCTTCACCAGCTGCATTCATTAAGATCAGTTCAAATATACACTAGTTAGTTGCTGTAAACAGAGTATTTCATCTTGCATTTTCTTGCACAAAAAATTTATACAAAACTTATTAGCGATGGAGTTAACAACCTTAGATTACATTTTAAGTACTATTATACAAGTATTGAGTGTGTATTTTAGTTAATACTATTTAACATGCAAACTGTACTTCACCGCCTAATAAACAGAATTACTTTAATATGGCAAATTATAAAGCAACCTTAGTATAAACAGTACACCAAGTTAGTTTAACAGGTTCCTCCTGTTAATTAATTTGTCCTTGATTTACAATTTAAAATATTTTATACCAACAGCACATTTAAAATTTGGTATTTCTTCCCTGTTTTCTGATTGTGGGACTTCTTTAGTCAGGTTTTTATAAGACTATATCTGACACACAAACATTTAGTATAGAGTAGTGTGGTATTCTTAATATCCACCATGCTATTAAAGCAGTTCCTGATTAAGTAAAAATTAATTTACATTAGACTGCAAATTACTATCTCTATTATCTCACTCCTCTCACTCCTCAGTATTGTGGTAATTTATCAGTACCAGAGGAGCTAAGTAATACAAAAGAAATGTGAGGAATTTTGTGCAGAGTATGAAAATTAATCTCATTACATACCTTGCTGGCTGACTCATCCACTTTCCTGCCCTGTGGCAGTCATTGCCGTGCACCAGGCCTTGAAGCACCAGACACATTGCTTCTCCTCTGCTTCTCTCAGTGGGAAGATCCTGCTGCTTGAACAGCCCTTCAGGGTGGAGACAGTGGGACAGTGCTTGTTCTGCTGGAAAGCTTGCTTTGCTTATTGCCTGACTTACCTGTGCTCTACACCTTTCTTAGCCACCACCTTGAGTACAGGATAAGTGAGATAAAATGAAATGTTGGCGTTTAATCATCCCAATTCAAAAACTAAATTTTAACTTTTTGAAAATGACTGGCCTGTGTCTGTAAATTGGACAATACCTTGAGTCTGCCTCTTGCTATAGTAGGACAATTTGCCCCTGAGTGAAACTGATGCCCCAGACTGCCTCAACAGCTGCAGTAACCAGGTAGTGGCTCATTTCCCTCCATATTTTCGTGTCACAGATGATACTCTACAGATCTGAACCTACACGAGACAGATAGCCTCGATTCCCACTGGGAAGGCATGAAAGGATCACTTCTCACGCTCTACGTTGCAAAACATTTTAGAATGACATTTGCAAGCTATTTTTGATTCGGAACATTGCTTCTAAACGGTTCGTACTTGGAAGTTTCTCGCGCTCTGCCGCGCCGGGTTTGAGCGAGACTCGAGCGGGGCTTGCGCTGCGCGGGGCGATGGCCGAGCGCGGCCGCCAGGGGTCGCGGCAGTGACGGCGGAGGGGCCGGATCGTCCCGCATCCCGCCCGGCCCCGCCGGGGCAGCGCCCGGGGGCGTCCTGCGGCCGTCCCGGGGCCAAGCTCTGCCCCTCTGGCTCCCGGCAGGCGTCGCTTAAGGAGGGAAAAAGGAAAAACAATTTAAAAAAAAAAAAAAAAGGGGGGGAGGGAGTAGTGGGAGGGGGTGGATGTGTTCTTCTAACTCAAGGAGAGGCTGGCAGGCAGTGCTCCCTGCTCCTCTCCGTGAGGAGCCTTGGAAATAAGACTACCCCCAAGAAAAATTGCTGAGAGCAGGGTTTTTGTTCTGTTCTTGGAGTAAGAAGGCAAGTGGTGAATATTAAATGCAGGTTACTTTCAGATGTCGGTGCCATAACCTCAACCTACGGCAGCGATGTGACATCAGAAGGGGAAACACATGGCTCTAGATGGCATAGTTCATCAGCTGGGTCTTCAGACCTTCCTTACATCCATTTTTTATGTGCTCCATCATCATCGTCACCACCATTATTATTGCTACTGTAGTTTAGATGGGAGAAAGGTTCCCTGTTTCTGAAAGCTTTCCAAAAGAACCTCCATCTATTCCAAAGTTCCACTTCTTTCCAAGCAGTAAGAAATATTTTTAAAATTACATTGAGAGATTGGCAGTAGCAGGTTCACTTACATATTTATGTTTCTTTTGCTGTGGAAGTATAGAATGTTTATAACAAAGCTTTAGCACTGATTTCCAAGAAAACAAGAAGGAATGAGATGTGGTGGAGATAATGCCTTAGTGCAGGGGTAGTCAGTTCACGTTTGTAGTCCTGCAAAGAGTTTAGCTGAGTCCTTCGGGTTGCTCAGGACACAACACATTTAAAAGGCTTCCCTGTTCTCTACCTGTATGAGGGTTAATCTTGGCTGTGCATCATCCTGGCCCACACATGAGCAGGCGAAGATGGACTTTCCTCTGTTTACTGCATGGCTCTCTTGAGATCCTGCGAAGTGCTGGGTCTTAGAAAGAACACATAAACAAGAAGAAATGATACACAGAAATTAGAGCAATCTGAGGGTACATAGAAAATGTGCAAATGTGCATATGTATGTGTGGGTAGATGTGTATATATGAAGAGGCATCTCAAAAACAAGAAATGAGAGAAGCTATGTGGCACGGCAGGAGCAGGCAGTGCATTGAGAAAAACTCATCCTCAGCTCTCTGAGCTGAAGAGAAAGGATGGAGTAGCCCATGTACTTCATCTGTCTACTGGACATCATAAGGATGATTACAAGGAAATGAAGAGGCTGAGGAAAAAGCAAGATTTCTCCTCTTCTATCCCTTTGCAGAGAAGGGTGATCAGTCCAATTTGCAATCCAGTTTTTGGTAAAAAACCCACTGCAGTCAGTGCTGTCTCCTGAGCGCAATAGAAAAGAGGACAAAGCTCTACGACCTTCAGGCAGATGGTGTTGTTATCATTTGTAGTTCTTGTAGTTATTGCTGTTTCTTAGTTGTTTTGCCTTATTTAGTGTTTGAGAGCATCCCCTGCCCTGGCTGGCTGTGGCTGCCGTTTGATAGACGGCAGAGTAGAATTAGGCCGCGGCAGATGGCCGCGAAGGAACCGGGACGGGAGCGTGACAGAGCCCCCGCAGGACTTGCTTCCAACCTGGCTGTTTCAGAGTGGCGGTTGGAAGGACTCGACGGGAGGGATGCGCCGGGGGACCCGCTCGGGGACTCCGCCGGGGCAGCGGCTGTGCACCGCGCAGGCCAAGCCGCTCTCCTGCCCTACCCTCAGGGATGCTAGGTTTTCTTCCGCCGGGGACGCTCCCATCACGAGGGCCACCCGGTGCCACCGGGACGTGTCTGCACGACCGGGAGCAGGTGGCCTGGCCGCCCGCGTCGGGAGTTCGATGACGCTACCAGCACCAGGGACAGCGCCGGCCGCGGTCCCGGCCCCCACCTGGCCCCCTCTCGGTCCCTCCGCTCCTTTGTTCCGAGGCCCCGCGGAACAAAGACTTCCGCCGCCGACGGCGCGGAGACCCCGGCCTCTCCCGTCCCCGCCCCCGCCCCCTCCCCACACCTGCCGGCTTGGCCCCGCCACCGCCGTCGTCTCCACCGGAGCCGCCTCTCCGGTGCCCCTGGCCGCACACGCCCCGGCTCCCGCGCACACCGCGCTGCCACCGCCGCCCCGCCGCCCTCCCCCGCGCGTAAGCTGCCCCGCACACACTACCCCGCCGCCGCCGCCCCCTGCTCCGCGCTCGCAAATCGCCGCCTTGCTCCTCGCCCTGCCGCCCAGACCCGCGCAAAAAGCCCGCACGCCGCTCCGCTGCCCGTCGGCACCGCTCTGAGCCGGTCTCCCCACACCGTCCCCGTACTCTACTCTCTTCCGCTCCCCCTCGCAACCGCCGCACACTCCTCTTCGCGCGTCCCGGCTGCCTCTCCGCACACGTCTCTGCTGCAGTGTCCCCGCCGCACATCCAGCATCTCCCGCACCCATTCACCAGCGCCGCACATGGCTCTGCCGGCCCGCGGCACAGACGATGTTCTGCTGCCTCTCGCGCACCGCGCCACTGCCCCAGGGCCCGCGTTCCTCGGCTTCCAGAGAAGTCCCGCAAGAGGAGGAGCCACTACCGAGCGGGCACCCCTAGCTACCGGCTGGGCGATGCGCAAAGAACAATCCTCGCGATGATAATATTAGAAAATGTATTTATTTCCCATTAATCGACTTTACATGATTCAGCCCAAGAAAGTAAGAGGTCGAGTCACCACCACCTTGAAAAACCACCACGGCTACCCCAACGCTCCAGTAGTCCCCCACGGCCCCGTTACCTGCTGATGACAGCTGCCCTCGCGGGCGCCCGTCCCATGGCAGTGACATCTCTCCACCGGGCTGCGCCGATCAGTACGCCAGTCCTAGTTAGTCTCGGTTTCCATAGGTGAGTACAGGTTGTCGAGCTCTTTATTGCTTTGTCTCTCCTTTTTTTTTTTTTTTTTTTAACTTTTCAGTTTTCTATTACTTTTAGTATTAACGTTTTTATGGTGTGTTCTAGCGAGATCTTTCATGCTGCTTTGAGGATCCGCTCTTGGCATTCACCGCGTGCCTTAATTGTATGACATTAAATCAAGGTCCGCTGTGAACACGGAGAGTCAGAGCCTTAGAGCGCTCTCTCTCTCTCTCTCTCTCTCTCTGGAAGCAGAACAGCAACTGATCCCCGAAAAAACCCCCGGTGATTTGCCTCTGCCCTAGTCCCATCCTGGCTTGGGCTGCATATAACTCATGCTGAATTTTCTGACTAGCCGGTCTGTTTGCAATGCTCAGGAAGCTGTTAAATATGTATTTAATGGATTAAAAAAAAAAAAGGGAGAGAAATTAAACGTGTGCCTATTAGACACTTCCAGGCGATTGCTTTAATTTCACCAGCGTCTTCGCATGATTTTAAATACAGGAGCTGGCTCTCCCCGACTCGACGTCTGTGATTTGGCATCCCTGGCTCAGGGGGATGACCGTTCTTTCCGGCTGCCTCGGTCCGCCTGGTCCTGCGGCTTCCCTGGAGCGCGGGCGGGAGGAGCCCTCACCCCCAGAGCATCCCCGCTCCTCTCGGCCGGGGGAAGGAGGGGGGAGAGGGAGGTCTTTCGGCGATGAAAAATGAAAGGGCAGGACGTGTCATCTTTCTTTGTAAAGCGGAAAAAAATTTAACTCACTCGCACCTGCCCCTTTCCCGGGAGGGCCTGGGCAGCCCATCTGGCCTGCCTACACTGAACTGGCGAGTGAGGAAATGAGGGGTGAAGTCATTACAATAATTTTAAAAAAATAAAATCAGCCTAAGCTTTTTTTATTATTATTACGCTTTTTGCCATCTTTCACCGCTCAGGACGGGGACCATTCCTTTTCGGTGACGATGGCGCGCCAGGGAGAAGGAGAGCGGCCGGGCGCCTTGCATCACCCTGCGGGCTGGACCACGGCCGGACCCCGGGAACTGGGCGGCTGACCTCGATTGCTTCCTTGGCCCCAGGGCCCGGGAGAGAGAGAGGAGACGAAGAGGGATGTGCTGCGGCTGCATACGGCGGCGTCCGGTCTCCTGCGGCGGGCTGGGCTTCCCAGAGATTTTCCCGTAGCTTGCCGGGGCATCTGGGGGCAAACTGGGCAGACGGCTCCGACCCCCCTCGGCACCGCAGCTCCCGCGTGCGGCCGCCTGGAAAACAGACAAAGCAAGAGCGTTAGAAAGGCAGGCGGGGAGGAGAGGAAAGGCAGGCGGGGAGGGAAGGGCGCCGGGAGCCCGCACGCCGCGCGGTTGCCAATGACAAAAGGAAGAGAGGGGGGAGTCAGAGCAGGGGAAGGGCGGGGAGGGAAGGGGAAGGGGAGGAAGGAAAGGGAAGGGAAGGGAAGAGAAGGGGGGCCACACGGATTGACGCGGATCTGGGGCCGGCCAGACCCGAGCCTGTGGGGCTGCTCGGTCCGTGGCCGAGGAGAGACAAGGTGGAACGCCCATCACCGCAGCGCCGGGGCGAGCGGGCATCTGAGTCTCTGCAGTGAGGTGGGAAGGGGCCAGCCGCGGGGAACCGCAGAGAGCAACCTCCTTGCCCGCCACTGCAAAATCCCCGGAGACCAAGCACAGGGGAAAGCTTAAAATGAAAAAAAAAAAAATATTTAAGGGTATGGAGGGGGGTGGGGAGCAGCATTTCCCCCTTCTTTCTCGGCTTGAAGAGCGTACGAGAGCAAAGAACTAAATCCATAGGGGGAAATCCAACCACTCAAATAAAAATAAGAAAAATGAAACCACTCCGAATACTAAAAAAAAATCATAATCAAAAAGAAAATGGTCAAACCTGCCGGGGGCTGACGGCTCCTCCGCCCAGTCGGAGCCGCGGAGAGCAGGAGAGAAGGAGAGTGCCGCTAGTTGCTTTCGGGGGATAGGAAGCGGTCCGGTCTCTCCCCCTCGCTTGCTGCTCCAGAATTAGGGATTAATGCCTCTCCAGCCAAACAAATAAGGCATCTGCCTTCAGTACAAGAGGATTACACGGGGTTGCTGACGTCACCAGCCAGGCAGATGTTGGCTCCCAAAGTCCTGATCATCTCCCGTGTCCTTGAAACCCGGCACAATCCCAGACCCGGGCGGCCCAGACGGGTCCCTTCAAGGTCGAGGGGGACCTGCTCGGAGGGGACCCTGCCGAGTCACTCTCTCCCAAAACGTCCTCACGCATCATCGGGAGAGAAAGGTGTGAAAAACCGAGCCCGGCAGAAAGTTCATCCCTCCCCCTTCCCTCCGGGTCCTCTCCCCCAATTCCCCCGCCTTCCTCCCACCTCCCCAGCCTCAATGTCACATGAATCTGTACAGTCATAGCGAAGAAGAGGAGCCTGATCGCCGGCTCACCCAGAGGTCACCCTTCCCGCACGGCAGGCGACCCCCCTCACTGCGGCACCGCTGCATCCCCCGGTCCCGCGCCGCCCCAGTCTCCCGCCCGCAGCACCCCGGAGCCCGACAAGGGGCCGGGAGCACGACGGAGTCGGGCCAGGCCGCGCCGTGCCCCACGGGCTTTGTTTCCACTGTGCCCGTCCCGGCGAGGCAGCGGCGGGCAGCGGGCGAGAGCGGATCGCTATCCGTGCGGAGTCAGTTCGCTCCCCCGGCCCCGGAGCTACGTGGTGTCTCTGCGGCAGGCAGGCCCCATCGAGCGGGCAGCGAGCCGAGCCGAGCCGAGCCGGGTCGAACTAGGGCACGCAGGAAGCGCGGAGGTGGCTCAAGGCCTCCTCTTGCCTTGGGAAGCCGGTGGCAGGTGCAGAAGTAGGGTTTTTCCTGGCTAAAGGACTTGGAAGTTGCATTTGTGCAATTCTTAGGTGGAGGTAGAGCAGCTTGTCCTTCCCGGAGCTCAGCTCTGAGTTTGCTGGAGCCGTGGGGCGGGTTGAAAGTGTCGCAAAGTGCATCTGAAAAGGGAATCCAATTAGAAGAGAGATCAAAATAAAAAAAGAAATTTGCCTGAGAATCATGTCTGTTGCCTTTGCTGTGGCATAAAGTCCATGACTCATCATTGCTAGTCCCTTTGCATCGAACAATGGTTTCAATCATTTCGATTCTGCAGAAAGGCAAACTAGATGATGTGACATAACGGAGCAGGATGAAGATGGGATTGCCAGTATCTAGGCTCCTGTTGGGTTGATGTTGTTGTTGTTGTTCAAAGGAGCTGTTTTATAGATCTGTTCCATATTATCCTTGTCTGTCAAAGTGGCATTTAATTTTTCCAATTGTGGAACTTGGTCACTGATAAAATCAATTTAATTTACACCACTGTCATTCAGCCGATCCGAGCAGTAGATTTATTTTTGGCTCGGAGTTGAAGGGAAAAAAGCAATCGTATGTAGAATGAAGAGATCCTTTTACTTCTTTTGCGAGCAGTAAGAAGAGAAATCCCTGTCATGGCATTTTAACAGACCTTGCTCTCCTGCAGGAGAATTATAAATGTAATTTCTCAAATCTTTTGCTTAGAAACTTGAGCAGCAACACGAAAGGGATAGCAAGAAAAACAGAGCAGCCCGGCCCTCGGCGTTCCGTGGGAGCAGGCAGCCCCGTTCACCCCCTTTTCCCGGGGTGACACCGACTGCTCCCGGTCCCTGTCCATGGTCCTGACCCGCCGGCGGCAGCGGGCGCTGCTCCCGCGACTGTGCGGGCGGCCCTGCGCGCCCCTCCGCGCCATCGCGGCCCGCACCACCGCAGGGCCGGGGAGTCTGCGGCCCCTCCGGGGCACTTCCACCAACGCCTTCACTTTGTTGTGATCACTAATAATGCTATTTTTTTTTTTTAAATTCAGAACCTTAGAAGAAGGTGGTGGTGGTGGTGGTGGTGAGGATTTACCTTTCTTGGGTTTTATTTGATAGCTCTCCTGTTTCAAAGAGCTTTTAATCACTGACGCCTGGGCAAGCTCACATTTTAATGGGAAGTGGTTGATATCGGACAAGGATGTTTAAACCTCGGACTCTCATTTGTTTCCTTAAATGGATTAAAATGGAAATTCAAAAGTGGTTTTTGGTAACTGGTACCTACCTATGGGCTGAAAAGAACCAACAACATTGCAAACTATATTTTTCATTGCACCTTGCAACGGGAATACCTTGCACACACTGGTTAAATATGCTCTAAAATCTCAGTTTACATATATATGGCCTCTTTCCGAATCTAAAAGAAAGATCTTACTACTTGGCTACATGCACGCTCACACAGATACGCTCTCTGTCTCATGCACATACATGTATGTGTACATGAAGTTTAAATAACTTAGTGGAAAAGTCAGACCGTCGTTCACGAATCTTTTCTCAGATCACAACACACACACAATTGGCCAACGCTGCTCCTTAGCATTTAAAAGGAAGGACAGGTCTCGTAATGTTATTTCTTCAGTCCCCACTTCTCTCATAACCTGCTCTCCTGAGTTGAATAACGCGGGCAAAGAGCAGCTGAAATAGCCCCTCCGCTGCAAAAGGGTCTGAATGCAGCAGCTTTAGAAATTGTGCACTAACCCTGCAAGGAGAAATGTGTGGGATCTCTCGAATGTGAGGTGCTACCGGCTGCGGAAAAGGCAGAGCTGAAGCCATTCACACTTCGTAGGCTGGGAGATTTCTTTCAAAAGAGCCCTGAAGTGTTTAAGATTTGGGGGAAAACCCTTGTACCGGAAGAAAATGGCCTAAGCACAATAGGACTCGCCATTTTCTCCTTCCAAAGCACAAAGCAGCTCCGCGGCTTCAGCACCACACAAAGAAAGTCCGGACCCTCTCAATTCTCTTACATTTTCCCCCACGATTTCAAAAGCCTTCCCCTCCAACCGATCCGCTTTCCCAGGAGCGCTCTCACAGAAATAAAGAAAGAAAGGAGGAAAGGGAGGGGGAGAAAAGCAACTAGGCTAGGCGAGAGGGAGACAGTTCTGGTCTTAGTTTATTTAAAGCAAATCCTTCCAGGGAAAAGTACTCTTATCACACGTACACTTGAGGAGCGTGTGTGTGGGGGGAGGTGGGGGGTTGGAATTCCAAAAAACCAAACATCTGGAAAGCTGTTTTGACCACCGCATTCCTTCAAGCTGGGCGGACGCACCGTGCACTACACAGACCCGAGCAGATCGCGCTGCCTGCGGATGTTTATGTACACACACAGGCGCGCAAATTCCCGTGCCAAAAAAGAAAAAAAAAAAAGCTCATTTTCATTCCAGTTAAGCCCACAAACTGCTGCCGAAAACAGTCCTCTGTCCCCACCACTGCCAACATCGGACAATCCTCCGCGCCCGCGGAGCCCCGCACCCCCGACTGCTGCCCTGCCACCGCACCGCTCTCCGCTCAGCCGTCCGCCCCTCTCCCACTTTTATTATCTTATCTCAGTAAGTCGGCAGAAGACTGATAGACCGATAAAGAGGGGGTGATAGATTAAAAAAAAAAAAGGTAGAACAACAAAGAATCAAAACAAACCGGAGCAACACCAACCTAAACATCAGCCTGTCACTATCGCTCTGAAATACAGCAAGAGACCTCGTACTTACAGCCAGCGCTAAAGTGAGTAATCCTCATCCCAGCGTTGTTGGGTTTGTTTGGGTTTTTTCCTCATTTTTTTTTTCTCTAGTTGTTTTTAAGTACTTGTTCGTTCCCATTGTCCATCGCTCGGAGTGGATTCAAGCAAAACCGGCCGGTTAGCAAGAATAAAAATAGAAGTGATTTCATTGTGTAAATGCAGCAAAGAGACAAGATGCTGTGTTTCTCCTAATACTTTCTGCTTAGGAACCGTCAGCTCTGAGCTCAGAAAAGCAGGACTCCGTGTGAGTCTCCCCCTCCTCTCTCCTCTCTCTCTCTCACACACACACATACACGAACACGAACACGCACACACACACACACACATACACACTTACTTTTCGTCTTCTTCTTGCCTTTCTTTTTTTTTTTTTTTCCAAAAGAGGGCAGGTCGTTCCCTGAATCCCAATGAGTTAAGTCAGTCACTTTCCTTCACATGCATCACAGCCTCCTTAGAGCTGCAGGCACAAAAGAGCATTTAGCTGCCTCCAATTTGTGTAGAAGGCCTGGCCTTATTTTTTTTTTTTTTTTAAGTATATTTAAATCATGTATTTCACTCAGTATAAAAATACCACATCCCCAACTTTGACGACTGAACCACTAATTGTAACCTTTTAAATAAATTCTTGAACTTGTATGCATACTTAGCTGGTCTGCAGGGGCTTCCCAAGAAATTGATGCACAGTATTTCTCATCTGTGCAGACCTGCACCCTGCTTTCTCCAAAGGTCAGAGCTATACAATCCACAATTACTTTCTGATGAAGTCTTATATCAACAAAATCTCCTTGAAAGGATTACAGGCCTTTAAAAATAAAGCTTTAATCTTAAATATACATGGTAGCATATTCCATTTCAATCAAATATGAGGGATTGTTTCAAAAAGCAACCGCACACACATACACGTGTTTTAATGTGGGCTGATTTTTTCCAGGCGGATAGAGAAATGCATGAGCAAGGTTGAATTTACTCCACATTTCATGGACTATTTTATGTCAGTTCTTTGTTCTGGCAAATGTGGGAACATCCATCCATGTGTGTGTATATATATATATATATATATATATAACATATTCATGTATGGCAGAGTGTGGCTAGCCTGGCCATGTCAGAGAGCCGTGAGGCTGGCAGAAGTCTGTCGTGAGGCAAATGAAGTGCCAAAGTGACCCAGCGGTGGCCCTCCAGCTGCGGAACCACAGTGAGAAGAAAGACCGGTCCGTGCCGGGGGCTGGTGGGCACTGCCCGGCCCAGGGCCACCCACCATCTTCTTGCTCCATGGCCTGGGGTCCTGGGGGACCCCTGGGCACTGCGGGGTGGCCAGGGCAACCCCGACATCTTGGTCACCTCAGGAGTTCTTGGCACTTTCTTTGCATGCTTGTCATCTCCTAATTCCAGCCGCACTTGCTGAAATAGGTGGTAATCCGACTCTAGAGGAGATTAAGGAACCAGAGATAGCTGCATTTGGGATTACCAAAAGGAAATGAAGGAATCTAATCCCCTCCCACCCCTTACGTTGCTGGGTTTCAATAAGACCTTATACCACCTTTTAGGATTTTAAACAAATGAATTCACTTGGAGAAGGGGACAGAAAGAGACCAAGTGATGGAGAGCGTGTTTACCCATTAAATGAACTCTGTAGCAGAGGATAAGGTGAATTGCAAAAGCAGCCACAGTTGATCTGCTTTCTTCTGCATCCGTGTACAGGCCCAAGACTTGCAGCTTCCTCAGTGCTCTCCTCAGGACCAGGACAGGTTTTGGAACGCTACACTGGAGCCCAATGTATAAACCGCAAAATCAGCCTGGTACTGATTAGGACACTCCCGCCCACCTCCTCCCTCTGTCAAATCA